ATCTGCTCACAAGGAACACATTTGCCTATAGGACCAATAAGGTCCGCCATGAAGGATTTTGTGAAAAACATTCAAAACGCTATTCCTCTGGCACTGAATGACCGATCTACACAGAACGTGATATATAGCATCTATAGACCAAGGTTTCATAATGCAATATTTTCCAGGCTAACATCTCAAACAATATGACCGCTACTGACCAATAAACATTCACGTGGGCGTGGTCTGGTACATAAATGCATATAAATCAGACATGGATTTTTGTATTGTAACAAAACTTGGTACACAAGTTCCAAACACTGTGAAGACAACATATGCAGGCACATTCAGATGGACCACATGGTGGCGCTATAACGGGCACATGTTTATATCTCTTGATCAATTTGACTCAGGATGAAATTTGGCACACATGCTCAGGGAGATGTGTCTAGCTAACCTGTAAAATATAGTTCAGTTTGGCTGCATGGTGGCGCAGTTGGACAGGAAAAAACATTTGTGCAAGCTCATTGGCTTATAGTGGCCATATTGTTTCAGCTAGTCTTGGAAAATATTGTGTTTTAAGATGGAGCATCCATCGATGCTATGTACCAAATTTGGTGTCGATCAGTCCAGCGGTTCTGGAGAAGACGTTTAAAGTAGTCAATATCATTAAAAATAGTCAAAAATACATCAAAAGCATATTGCATGATCAGTTTGATTTTGAGTTCTGATATTTGGCAAGCAGTACAGACGTAGCTCATCCTAGGGTGATGTGTCCAATTTGTCCTGATGGTGGCACAGTAGGCCCACAGATGAACCCCAGAATTGCTGCTTGCAGCTTTATTTTAATATCTTGTTCTTGATTAGATACCATGTCTTGTTTTGATGTGTTTTGACTGATGTCACGTCTATGCTAATATGGCAAAAATTAGCAAACTAGGTAACCAACAACTGTAACGATGTATGTGAGAGACAAGTGCTCTTAGTGCAAATGTATTTCTGTATTCAATAAACATTGCAGACAAAATATAGTTTACATGTCAACAATCTAAGCCAACCCTGTCGGTTTTGCCCCATAGTTGTGCACACGTCGGTTTTGTTGCTAAACAACCAACCCGTCTATAGGGATGTGGATTTGTTTAAGGACTGCTTATTTCTGAAGAATGGATGAGGATTATTATAGAGGTCAATAATAGTAATTGTCCTACACAAGGTACAGTGTCCCCATTTATTTCACAAACTTGATTCCACAGATAAGTGTGCATGGTTGAAACAAATTAGCAAATGCCAAATACAAAACAAAGGCCTTCCCTACTTCCAAGTCTACAGTGTATTTGTTGTAAGAGTTGAAAGAGCCATAAAGCGCATTAACTTGAATAGGTATAACACAGTATGTTTGAGTGTATCACTTGAACTTCATGATGGTAAAACATTGATAAATAGTATTACACATTCAGGTAATTGATTCAGGTAGTTCAAAAGCAGGGATACATTTCCAGCCAATCCAGTATACTTGCGAGCACAAGGTTAATGGGAAATGTAGTTAACTATGGTTCTCAAATTCCTCTTTTTTTTTTCTTCCCATAATCAGTCTATGCACATGTTCAGAGCCTTTGTCATAAATACAAATATATATTTTCATAAAAATATGCTGCAATGAAATGAACAGAGGCTGTTCACCATAATTTAAAAAAGCTTGAAATGATAATGATGACAATAATATTGATGATAATGATGGCCGTAATAATAATAAAGACACAGTGTCATGTATTTTACACCACATAAAGATTATCAATAGCGAAAATCACAAAGAAACATATGCCTAACAAAGAAGCCTTGCTCTTCACTGGCCATTAAAAATATAAGGTTATTCTGTAGCTCTCCAGGAACAGGGCTCTCCAACCCTGTTCCTGGAGAGCTACACTCCTGTAGGTTTTCAATCCAACCCCAGTTGCGGTAGATTAGGGTTGGAGCAAAAAACTATAGGACGGTAGCTCTCCAGGGACAGGGTTGGAGAGCTCTGCCTTAAAAGATCACTTTACTCAAAAACTATTGGTCATTTGTTCATTATTCCACTGTTAAAGGTCCAATGCAGACGTTTATATCTCAATATCAAATCCTTTCTGGGTAACAATTAAATACCTTACTGTGATTAATTTCAATTAAAGTGGTCAAACAGAAACAAAAATAGCTTCTTAGCAAAGTGCAATTTCTCAAGCAGGAATTTTGTTAGGACTGTCTGGGAATGGGGAGGGAAAAACTGAAAACTAGATGTTATTGGCAGAGAAATGTGGAACTCCTTATTGGTCTGTAAACTAATTAACTGCCTGGTGAGGTAGGCCAAAACTCCATCCCACCATAACAGTCTGACATTTCAGGTGGTCTTTTCAAACAGCTCTTACACTAAAAGGGCATTTTCACAATTTCACAGTATTATTCCAACCTCACAGTGTGAAAATATATATAAAATCTTGTTTTTGACTTCACTGGGCCTTTAATGCAATCCCCCCCCACCCCAAAAAAGAAATTGTGTGTGTCAGCAGTCAAGTTTTCAAGATAAACGCATCACAGTTTTTGCTCTGTACTGAAAGTGCTCCATCTTGAAAACTTGACTGCTGATATGCAAATACAAAAGGTGGGATTGTGGACTAATGAACAATATGCTAAAACATAGTAATTTAGTAAAGTACCATTTAACTGGCTATATCAACACCAATCAATGCAGATATCACTGAGCAGGTTAAGCATATTGTCAACAATGGAATGCATATTAAAGCTATTCTTCAATTCACGCCATTCAGTGTTCCACACAGCAATGCCCTATGTTTTACAATTCACCCTTGTTTGCAATCTGCAACAACAGAAAAGACATGGACATACAAGATAAATCAATTAAATAGGTACCAGTGTTCAATAGCAACTCTTCCTCCCCACACACACACATCCTATGTTTAACACAATCATTGGTGGATTCTGTCCACAGTAGACTCTGATCAGGAGAGTATAGATACAGAATGCATAATTCAATGACAAATATACGTTAATACAGTAATATCATGGTTTGTTTTCACAGAACATCAGTCACTCTACACAGCATTGGGCACAGTACTGACACAGTATTTTGAGATGACAGAGATGCTAAAGCCGGCTAGGTATGTACAGTATTCTTTTCTATAATCATTTTCTCAAGCATAAAAGTAAAAGGCATAGATAGGCACATAGGTCAGGACTGCCACTGGGGACAATATACAGTGCATATCTGAAAGCCAAAACATACAGAACCGTCCCTGCATTTTCTTAGAGATATTGTAGATCAATTCAACTGATCTATCATGAGAATCTACCCTATATCATTTCACAGCATGTAGCAGGTAGCTTATGTTTAATGACACCACATAGACATTTAAGAGCGACAATTGAGATAAAGAGCTATGGCTTATTATAGACTAAAACTTGTGGTCTTGGTCTGAAGACCGCTCAAGATCACTTGGTCTGGGGATCACTGTCCAAGTTTTCGGCTTCAGTCCTGGCATCAGTGTATGGGTCTGGGTCTCGCGTAATGGTCTCTGACAAGACCGTATGAATATCAACTCCTGAGTTAAATGGCCAAGTAGCAGTGACTCAAAATCCTGGCCGCCAAAATGTCTTGCTTTACGTATGTGGGAGCAGGGCTGTAATGCAATGGAGTTGAAGGAAATATTGTCTTGACTCCATGTCTGTTACAGACTGGGGTATCTCATTCCACAAGGTATAACACATCCCAGACGGCAAAATCTCATACATACACAATAGACAAATAAGGCAGTATTCCACAACATTATCATGGCAAAACCTCACAAAGTACCTTTACAAAGAAAGCTTGATTCTTTGCACAAAAACCAACATTTTAAATACAGTGAGCACCGAAAGTATTGGGACAGTGACATTTTGTTGTTGTTTTGGCTCTGTATTCCAGCACTTTGGATGATACAAAGACTGAGGTTAAAGTGCAGACTATAAGCTTTAATTTGAGGGTTTTTCCATCCATATTGGGTTAACTGTTTAGACCTAGGCAGAGTTTCAAAGAAAAAGCAATATCTCAGACTGGCCAATAAAAATAAAAGATTAAGATGGGCAGTCTGACATATGGCTTTTTCTTTGCAACTCTGCCTAGAAGGTCAGCATCTCGGAGTCGCCTCTTCACTGTTGACGTTGAGACTGGTGTTTTGCGGGTACAATTTAATGAAGCTGCTAGTTGAGGACCTGTGAGGCGCCTGTTTCTCAAACTAGACACTCAAATGTATTTGTCCTCTTGCTCAGTTGTGCACCGGGGCCTCCCACTCCTCTTTCTATTCTGGTTAGAGCCAGTTTGCGCTGTTCTGTGAAGGGAGTAGTACACAGTGTTGAACGAGATCTTCAGTTTCTTGGCAATGTTTCGCATGGAATAGCCTTTCAGAAGAAAGTTCTTTGTTTCTGGCCATTTTGAGCCTGTAATCGAACCCACAATTGCTGATGCTCCAGATACTCAACTAGTCTCAAGAAGGCCTGTTTTATTGCTTCTTTAATCAGCACAACAGTGTTCAGCTGTGCTAACATAATTGCAAAATGATTTTCTAATGATCAATTAGCCTTTTAAAATGATAAACTTGGATTAGCAAACACAACGTGCCATTGGAACACAGGACTGATGGTTGCTGATAATGGGCCTCTGTACGCCTATGTAGATATTCCATTAAAAATCAGCCGTTTTCAGCTACAATAGCCATTTACAACATTAACAATGTCTACACTGTATTTCTGATCAATTTGATGTTATTGTAATGGACAAAAAAAATGATTTTCTTTCAAAAACAAGGACATTTCTAAGTGACCCCAAACTTTTGAAAGGTAGTGTAAGTGAATTTGTCCCAATACTTTTGGGTCCCCCAATATGGATGAAGATACCCTCAAATGAAAGCTGACAGTCTGTACTTTAACCTCAGTCATTGTATCATTTCAAATCCAAAGCACTGGAGTACAGTGCCAAAACAGCAAAACAACGTGTCACTGTCCCAATACTTTTGGAGCTCACTGTACAACAGAGGATATATTTCAATGAAAATAATTAAATTAAAAAGTAGAAAAGTCATAGAACCATGAATGTAAACCGCATGAAACACTTGAGGTCCTACATACCTCTCTCTGGCCTGGTCATTTAAGTATAATCAATGCAAACAACTTATCAAGTCATTTAATCAATGGCATCATCATTAATCAATCTCCTATTACAGTATTTCACCTATTATTTAACTTCTCTCTCGTATTACTCTCCTGACAAATTGTTGATACATTGTTTCATTAGGCATCATTATTACGTTGTTTGCTCCCAATTTGGTTTGTGATCATTGTCACTTTCAGGGCGCTGTTCATGTGGTGATAGTTCTGGTTGACGCGGGTCGTGCCGCGTGCAAATGATTTTCAACGCTGTACTGTCTGTATGATATAGTAACAATGGCTATTACTCCCGATGAAATGTTACTGTCAACAAGTAGTTGTAGTTTGTCATCAGTTCATAAACCATAAGCATGACTGCCAGTCAGGTGTAAACATCTGTAAAACATTGCCAAATGCTTCTATTTACGACAAAGACTTCAGTGCATTTTCATTCCATTTGGCTCCATAAGCTGAAAACCCTGATCAGATAGACAAATCAAGGGGTATTAAGGTTCAGAACGCTTCTCCGGGCAGTGCCTTTTATTCAAAGTCTGCTATCTTTGGCTAGAGAGTGCATCATCCAGTTCACCTTGGTCTTCCAGCTCTCTCTCAGAGCTTCGTTAAACTTCACTTTGAAATTCTTCAGCGCTTCTTCCTCCGATTTCCCCAAAGCCAATGAGTCCTGAGAAAAGGGTGAGACAAGAGCAACAATATCAGAAGGATGACAGATGTGCCTTTACCATTTAAAACAACTCTCTTTACTATATTGGTAATCATCATCAATATTAATATCATGATCATTAGATTATCATCATCATTGTTATCAAGGTCCCTGCCACCACCACCATCAACATGATCATCTTCACTATCATTGAGGTCCCTGCAAACAACATCACCACCATCATCACCATCGCACTAGTCATCGTCATCATCACCATCAGTAGCTGCAGACGTATCCTTGTAACCATCACCAAATCATAACCCTATTTTGAAAAGGACACTGATCTCACGTGTAGGACCTTGCATAGACGTTATCTGACTACTGTGGCTAAAACTAGAGGAACTAACAAGTGTAAAATAACATAAATAATTGAATGATGTACTACAGTACACATCATGCTCCGTTCAACATATCTGGCAATAAAAGGAGGCACTCCTCTCACCTTTAGGTACTGGATGTCCTTGAAGGAGCTCAGCTCAGGCAGTCCGGCTGCCTTCATCATGGCAAACAGGTTCACAAACAGAGTCCCGTTGCGACACAAGATCTTATAAGCCTGCTCACAGCACTCTCTGAACCTGGTGGTGGCGCAATAAGAGAGGTACCACACCATTATCATGGAGCTTCAGGATCACCGTAAAATCAGTATGCATGGTTATATAAATAAGTATAGGTATAAGTAAAAGTATTCACAGTTGGGTGCTACAAATCACCATATGAGATTGATAAATACATTAAGATGACTGGATGTGCCCCCTATAGTCCCTGATTTGGAGTTTAAAAAAAACAACAGTAATTGAATTATATGAATACGGTGACAGATTCCTATAACATTATGTTTCTTTCTCTTTTCTTTTTATCTTGGCACAACTCTATATTAACAGAGACAATACAGTGTTGGAAATGAACAGTATTTAATACAATATAAATACAATACAATATAATACTATATAACATAATATATGCCATTTAGCAGACGCTTTTATCCAAAGAGCCTTACAGTCATGCGTGCATACATTTTTCGTATGGTTGGCCCTAGCGGGAATTGAACACATGATAGGAGGTAAGATAGATTTCATGTTTTACCTTTCAAACTTCTCACTGTTGTTGGTCCTCCCTTGTTGGATGACGTGGACAAAGTCGTACGTCAGAATAAAAGGCACACGTTCCCTGTTGATCCCAAATTTGCTCTTGAAGTTTCCCAGAAAGTGCCCAAAGTCAATGTGGAACAGCTAAAAGAGATACAGGGAAGTCAAGCAGGACTTTAACAGAAGCTTTCCACACCATCCAAAACATTATTATTAGACATCATTATTCGAGATAACCATTGTTGCTGCAGGCAAATGAGGTCTTAAAAATGGATCAGATTAAATATGTTGGTAACACAATCAAAATAACTAATTTAATAACTCATGAACAAGCCATTAAATGGAAAATAAACTGGATAATCTCAGCTCGAGACTATCCGACCAACAGGACATTAAAAACTGTAATATCTTATGTTTCACCGAGTCGTGGCTGATTGACGACGCGGATAATATTCAGTTGGCTGGGTTTTCCGTGTATCGGCAGGACAGAACAGCTACGTATGGTAAGACAAGGGGTGGTGGTGTGTGTCTATTTGTCAATAACAGCTGGTGTGCGATGTCTAATATTAAGGAGGTCTCGAGGTATTGCTCGCCTGAGGTAGAGTACCTCATGATAAACTGTAGACCACACTATCTACCAAGAGAGTTTTCATCTATATTTTTCCTAGCCGTCTATTTACCACCACAAACCGATGCTGCTACTAAGACCGCACTCAACGAGCTGTATGCCATAAGCAAACAAGAAAATGCTAATCCAGAAGCGGCGCTCCTAGTGGCCGGGAGACTTTAAGGCAGGCAAACTTAAATCTGTTTTACCTCATTTCTACCAGCATGTCACATATGCAACCAGTGGAAAAAAAAACTCTAGACCACCTTTACTCCACACACAGAGACGCATAAAAATCTCTCCCTCGCCCTCCATTTAGCAAATCTGACCATAATTATATCCTCCTGATTCCTTCTTACAAGCAAAAACTAAATCAGGAAGTACCAGTGACTCGCTCAATATGGAAGTGGTCAGATGATGTGGATGCTACGCTACAGGACTGTTTTGCTAGCACAGACTGGAATATGTTCCGGGATTCATCCAATGGCATTGAAGAGTATACCACCTCAGTCACTGGCATCACCAATAAGTGCATCGACGACGTCGTCCCCACAGTGACCGTACATACATATCCCAACCAGAAGCCATTGATTACAGGCAACATCCACACTGAGCTAAATGCTAGAGCTGCCGCTTTCAAGGAGTGGGACACTAATCCGGACGCTTTCAAGAAATCCTGCTATGCCCTCAGACGAACCATCAAACAGGCAAAGCATCAATACAGGACTAAGATTGAATCCTACTACACCGGCTCTGACGCTCGTCAGATGTGGAAGGGCTTGCAAACTATTACGGACTACAAAGGGAAACCCAGCCGCGAGCTGCCCAGTGACGAGAGCCTACCAGATGAGCCAAATGCCTTTTATGCTCAAGGCAAGCAACACTGAAGCATGCATGAGAGCACCAGCTGTTCCGGACGACTATGTGATACGCTCTCCGTAGCCGATGTGAGCAAGACCTTTAAACAGGTCAACATTCACAAGGCCGCAGGGCCAGACGGATTACCAGGACGTGTACTCAGAGCATGCGTGGACCAACTGGCAAGTGTTTTCACTGACATTTTCAACATGTCCCTGACCGAGTCTGAAATAACAAAATTTTTCAAGCAGACCACCATAGTCCCTGTGCCCAAGAAAGCGAAGGTAACCTGCCTAAATCAGTACCGCCCCGTAGCACTCACGTCAGTAGCCATGAAGTGCTTTGAAAGGCTGGTCATGGCTCACATCAACACCCTCAACCCGGAAACCCTAGACCCACTCCTATTCGCATTCCGCCCCAACAGATCCACATATGACGCAATCTCAATTGCACTCCACACTGCCCTTTCCCACCTGGACAAAAGGAACACCTATGTGAGAATGCTGTTCATTGACTACAGCTCAGCGTTCAACATCATAGTGCCAACAAAGCTCATCACTAAGCTAAGGACCCTGGGACTAAACACCTCCCTCTGCAACTGGATCCTGGACTTCCTGACGGGCCGCCCCCAGGTGGTAAGGGTAGGCAACAACACATCTGCCACGCGGATCCTCAACACGGGGGCCCCTCAGGGGTGCGTGCTTAGTCCCCTCCTGTACTCCCTGTTCACCCACGACTGCGTGGCCAAGGACAACTCCAACACCATCATTACGTTTGCTGACGACACAACAGTGGTAGGCCTGATTACCGACAACGATGAGACAGCCTGTAGGGAGGTCGTCAGAGACCTGACAGTGTGGTGCCAGGACAACAACCTCTCCCTCAACGTGAGCAAGACAAAGGAGATGATCGTGGACTACAGGAAAAGAAGGGCCGAACACGCCCCCATTCAACTCGACGGGGTTGTAGTGGAGCGGGTCAAGAGTTCTTTGGTGTCCACATCAACAAACTATCATGGTCCAAACACACCAAGACAGTCGTGAAGAGGGCACGACAACACCTTTTCCCCCTCAGGGGACTGAAAAGATTTGGCATGGGTCCCCAGATCCTCAAAAAGTAATACAGCTGCACCATCGAGAGCATCCTGACCGGGCGCATCACCGCCTGGTATGGCAACTGCTCAGCATCAAGGCACTACAGAGGGTAGTGCGTACAGCCCAGTACATCAGTGGGGCCAAGCTTCCTGCCATCCAGGACTTATATACTAGGCGGTGTCAGAGGAAGGCACAAAAAATTGTGACTCCTGTCATCCAAGTCATAGACTGTTCTCTCTGCTACCGCACGGCAAGTGGTACCACAGCGCCAAGTCTAGGTTCAAAAGGCTCCTTAACAGCTTCTACCTCCAAGCCATAAGACTGCTGAACAATTAATCAAATGGACACCCGGACTATTTACATTGACCCCCCCTTTGTTTTTACACTGCTGCTACTCGCTGTTTATCATCTATGCATAGTCACTTTACCCCTACCTACATGTACAAATTACATCAACTAACCTGTACACCCGCACATTGACTTGGTACCAGTACCCCCTGTATATAGTCAAGGTATTGTTATTTTATTGTATTATTATTTTTCTTATTTTTTTAACTTTATTTTATTTAGTAAACATTTTCTTAACTCTATTTCTTGAACTCATTGTTGGTTAAGGGCTTGTAAGTAAGCATTTCACGGTAAGGTTACCTGTTGTATTCGGCGCATGTGACAAATAACATTTGATTTGATTTGAAATGCTTATAGATGTTTACAAAATGCTTTACACATTATTATGAATGAAATAAATGCTCATTTGTAATGCTTGTAATGTTTATAAATATACACAAATATTCTAATACTTATTTATTAAGTGGCTAGTTTGTCTTCACTAAAACCAAAGGTTTTGCCTTCAAACTTTGTTTTGAATCACGACGTTATGGCATATCTGATTCCCTTTTCGAAGTTACCAGACCCTAGTCACTGCTGTTGCCTAGGGTTGGGTTTTCAAGACAATTAGCATTGCTGTGTGTAGTAAGACATGTGTCACCTTGTGGTAGAACTAACTACTATGCACATCCATCTATCTATATATCTATCCATCTATCTATATATCTATCCATCTATCCATCTATCTATCTATCAAAAAGTATGCGGACACCCCTTCAAATGAGTGGATTCGGCTATTTCAGCCACACCTGTTGCTGACAGGTGTATAAAATCAAGCACACAGCCATGCAATCTCCATAGCCAACCATTGGCAGTAGAATGGCCTTACTGAAGAGCTCAGTGACTTTCAACGTGGCACCGTCATAGGATGCCACCTTTCCAACAAGTCAGTATGTCAAATTTCTGCCCTGCTAGGGCTGCCCTGGTCAACTGTAAGTGCTGTTCTCTGGAGTGATCACGCGCATCACCATCTGGCAGTCCGACGGACAAATCTGGGTTTGGCAGATGCCAGGAGAATGCTACCTGCCCAAATGCATGGTGCCAACTGTAAAGTTTGGTGGAGGAGAAATAATGGTCTGGGGCAATTTTTCATGGTTCAGGCTAGGCTCCTTAGTTCCAGTGGAGGGAAATCTTAACGCTACAGCATACAATGACATTCCAACTTTGTGGCAACAGCTTGGGGATGGCCCTTTCCTGTTTCAGCATGGCAATGCCCCTGTATACAAAGCGAGGTCCATACAGAAATTGTTTTTCGAGATCAGTGTGGAAGAACTCGACTGGCCTGCACAGAGCCCTGACCTCAACCCCATCGAACACCTTTGGGACGAATTGGAATGCCGACTGTGAGTCAGGCCTAATTGCCCAACATCAGGGCCCGACCTCACTAATGCTCTTGTGGCTGAATGGAAGCATCTATCTATCAATCTCATGTAGTTGACACAGTATCATCGTTTTTGAGAGGCCAAATGTGATTAATTTGACTTACTGCCATTTCCATTGTCTGTCTAAGAATAAGTGTTTATCCGGTTACTTTATGAATGATAAATTGTGTAAGATAAAAAAATAATTGTTTCTTAGATATAAACAATGAGTTCTATTCCTACTAGGAATACCCACTCTAATCAGACGTATACAAATTATCAAGATTCTACACATTTAAAAAAATCATATTAACAAAAGGAAATGCTGTGCATCTCACCTGCCCAGTCTCCTTGATCATGATATTGTCGTTGTGGCGATCTCCGATTCCCAACACGTAAGTGGCTACACAGTAACCAGCACATGATAGTGTGAACTCCTCAATGGCCTGGTCAAGTTTATCCCTGCTGACAAAATAGATGAGAGAGAGAGAGGAGAGACGACATGGGATCAGTTTGCTTTCTCTGCCCTTTCCTTTATCCCTTCCTACCTTGAATGTTCTCTCTCTTTACCTTTCTCTCTCTCATTCTCTTTCCCAAGTCAAGTGGAAACAGTGGGGTCACGCACGCTCTTCCCCCTCTCTCAATATATTTGAGGCAGTTTTTTCTCACAGCTCTATTAAATATTTGCAGAGAAGATTCGGAGGGCGACAGATGATTGACAGCCATGTTACACCACGGTCCTGTCTAGACGTCTATTGGGTTCACTATGTTAAACTATTACATCTATCCCCCATTTCATTGTAACCAAGAGCTTCTGTGTGATATGGAGCTGTTTTGCCAGCCCTTGCACTGCACCCACCGGACATTACTTGTATGATGCCAATAGTATTCATTTGTTTATTCATTATTTCAAGGTTTCCTGTTTTTAAAATACTTTTCCAAGACATTCAGGGCTGTCAAATCACATGACCCTAGCTGTCAATGGGAATATTTAGGCAGGTGTAGGGAAGGTTGCCCCTAGACGCTGATCTTGGATCAGTTTGGCATTTTCCCCAGGTTAGGATTGAGGTAATCTTGCAAAGCAGGAATGTTCTTTTTTTTTTGCGTGATTGCGTCAGATGCTCGATTCGTTTCTTGGGGGAAATGTATGAGAAAAGACACTAACGAGACTAGCGAAGTCTCCACCCCCCTAAACGGAAACTATGAGCCAAAGAATTGGGCCAAATGTCCCCTTCCCTTCTGAAATTCAAAAGATGCATACACCTGCGTGACGGAAAAAAGTTCCTTGTTAGTCGTCGCATCCCACAGTCTGTTGACAGACGCATTGATACCATCCTATGTTACGTGCGTCTGTCCATGAGAGATTAGGATTGAGGGAGGGGAAGATGGTCCTCAATCTGTACCTAGGGGAAACTTCACCCCAGAGCCTTCACATCTCACAGTCCATCTAGCCAGGGTGTAAACCCATGCATTACATCCCTCTCCATGCTCCAATCTCTGCTGTGGAGCTTTGCAGCTCCTTCAGGGTTATCTTTGGTCTCTTTGTTGCCTCTCTGATTAATGCCCTCCTTGCCTGGTCCGTGAGTTTTGGTGGGCGGCTCTCTCTTGGCAGGTTTGTTGTGGTGCCATATTCTTTCCATTTTTTATTAATGGATTTAATGGTGCTCCGTGGGATGTTCAAAGTTTCTGATATTTTTTTATAACCCAACCCTGATCTGTACTTCTCCACAATTTTGTCCCTGACCTGTTTGGAGAGCTCCTTGGTTTTCATGGTGCCACTTTCTTGGTGGTGCCCCTTGCTTAGTGGTGTTGCAGACTCTGGGGCCTTTCAGAACAGGTGTATATATACTGAGATCATGTGGCACTTATATTGCACACAAGTGGACTTTATTTAACTAATTATGTGACTTCTGAAGGTAATTGGTTGCACCAGATCTTATTTAGGGGATTCATAGCAAAGGGGGTGAATACATATGCACGCACCACTTTTCCGTTATTTAATTTTTTGAAACAAGTTATTTCACTTCACCAATTTCGACTATTTTGTGTATGTCCATTACATGAAATCCAAATAAAAATCCATTTACATTACAGGTTGTAATGCAACAAAATAGGAAAAACGCCAAGTGGGATGAATACTTTTGCAAGGCACTGTAAGGTCAAATCATAGGTCCAGTTTAGTGTGTTTGAGAGCTAGCCTATCTGTAATTAATTTTTTCTAAGATATAGTTTAAGGTATTTTCAGATTACACTAAGTATACCAAACATTAGGAAGACCTTCCTAATATTCCCCTCCCCCTAAAATCCTCCCCTTCATCTACACTGATTGAAGTAGATTTAACACATGACATCAATATGGGATCATAGCTTTCACCTGGATTCACCTTGTCAGTCTATATAAGGGAAAGAGCAGGTGTTCTTAATATTTGGTATACTCAGTGTATATATTTTGCCCTCAGAACAGCCTCAATAATTCGTCTGGACATGGACAGGGGTGCTGGCCCATGTTGACTCCAATGCTTCCCACAGTTGTGTCAATTTGGCTGGATGTCCTTTGGGTGGTGGACAATTCTTGAAACACACGGGAAACTGTTGAGTGTGAAAAACACTACCATAACCCGTTCAAAGCACTTAAATATTTTGTCTTGCCCATTCACCCTCTGAATGGCACACATACACAATTCATGTCTCAATTGTCTCAAGGCTTAAAAATCCTTCTTTAACCGGTCTCCTCCCCTTCATTTACACTGATTAAAGTGGATTTAACAAGTGACATCAATAAGGGATCATAGCTTTCACCTGGATTCACCTGGTCAGTCTATGTCATGGAAAGAGTAGGTGTTCTTAATGTTTTGTATACTCAGTGTATATTGACCAGATAGAGATAGCGGATGACAGTTGGGAAAGATAGAGAGAGGTTGTGTCAAAGGGCAGTAGGCTGGATACAAACCCATGCCGTCACTGTAGAGATGACCGCTAGACCTGTGTCTCTGTCACACTTACTCTGGGTTCTTGGATTTAAGCCAGTTGAGCAGGGCGTCTTTGTTGAAGGCTGCGGTCGCGGCACTGTTGCTGTTGTTGCGCTGGATGTTGGCGATGGTGTCTGAGTTTTTCACCACCTCGATGAGGCCTGTCTTGTTCCCGGTGGAGAGGCAGCCGTAGGGGATCATCCTTACAGAGACAGTAGAGAAAGTTCATTCATAAAGCATTATAAGGCCTATTATATGCTTATAACAAGTAATAACGCATTATAACTGTATGCCCTAAGTACATTGTTACAAAACCATCATATCAGTTTTCCCCCAAACCTGTTCCCAGTATGTATGTAGAACCGTTTGACTGCAATGTCACCTACTTATTTCAAATCCAGGTTTCCTGCGCGCCACAAGCAAAACCCTAGGTATTAGCTTACGGGGCTAATGCAGGTCTTCACTGGGTCTCAAGCAAGGTTACTCATCCTGCAAGTGTGGTTCACCGAACCCAGCTCTGTTATACAACTAGGTCCACTGCTAAGCAGGGGTTGGAACCAGTTCAGGGAACAGAACCGAAAACAGAAAAATAATGCAATTTTTCAAGGAACAGAATCAGAACCATGAACAAAAGTGGTCTATACTGTTCCGCAACAGAACCGTTATTTTAAAAGCATGGGAACTGGTTAATAACGTTATTTTACTTTCCAGGATTTTTTCCAAGTCCCACAAAAAACGCAACAATGTACCTATGCAAAGCCCTCCCTCTGTCAATCAGAAACTTTTTCCAGTCTCTGCCTGACAGCTGAAAATCTTTGTCAGTGTATGTGTGTAGGCTACCTGCCCCTCACCCTCCATAGAAGCCGTTCCTCCGAAGGTATAATTCTGTGGGCCTAATTTAGATAATGCATGTTATCACAAGATGCCCAGCGCTTCAAGCCAAGCCTCCTCTACTCTCTCTGGCTTGTCTTTCAATCACACATGTAAATAACTCACTGAGCTATAGCTTGCCCGCTCCATAGCAAGCTTTTCTATCCACTAAGTAATTAATGTCGAGCTAAATGAAAATAAATATATGATTTCAGAGGTTTAAAAAGGAACAGAAAGGAATGATAAAAAACAGTACTTATTTTTGGTTTGAACCGGTTCAGAACTTTATTTTGCTTGTCGGAACAGTGAAACTTTTAGGTTCTAACCCCTGCTGCTAACACATACCTTAGATCCAGTCCCTCTTTCTTCCAAAGGATTTCCATCAGCTGGATCATTTGGAGGGTCAACATGTCTTGTCGGAGATCTGAAAGGTTAGAGGTTATGTCAGGCAAAAGGTACACTTATATCCAACCGAGACGGGATGAGAATCACAGATCCAGACTCCCCAGGCGGCCAGACTAGCAATTTAGACTAGTATGATTAATGCTCCCGATGGCATGCGTGCAAAAGTAGCATGATAAAAGGTTGGTCTGCAGAGGAATTGTTCATAACTTTAATTTACAAGTGACTGTACCTAATAGTCCCGCATCGGACCAATATAAATGCGACATTACTCAATACACACAAATCGATGGGCCATGGAGTTGGGGAAAACACTGCAAATTATTAATCTATGAACAACTGTCTATTTGTTGCATCTCATCCAATATCTGCATGGACCATAAATTAGGTAAATACAGTAGTAAAAGGGTATATTTTCTAACCGGTGTAAGAACAGAATAACTTGAATTTCCTGCAAGGGATCTTCTTTTTGGAGTGGTTCAGAAAATAAAGAAATAACAAACATAGTAGCTTGGGGATACACACAGTAGACCTAGCTACTAGGCTGACAGGATGACGATAACACAATATTAAAAAATAAACTTTAAAAATAGTGCTACTCTATGGTGTTGGCTGGCCGTGTCTCTGATCTTTGATGAGGAGGATATCTGATATACTGTACAGAGCAGTGGGCTGTGCGTAGCCTAGGCTACAACAGGCTAGCAGATAGGCAGCTAATTAACCTAGCTAGCTACATTGACGGAGCTTGGAGATCATCTGGAGGGTCCGGAGTGAGTCTCTTTAGTTCTCCTGTTCTCCAGTCCTATGGACTTGCCCATGAAGCCAGCAGTGGTTCTTCTCCAGCCTCGACTGTAGTCCCGATGCCCCTGGCTCTCTCGATCTGGATACTGCTTGCATCCTGCATCTCCATGGATACCACCAAGGATGCACTTGAGATATGCAAACAAAGCTACCAAAACAGCACTAAAACAGCGCTAAAAGGCCTCCAAAAGACACATATGTGTGTCCATTAGTTGACTAATACACTCCCACGAAGAGTCATACATAGATATAATATGACAACAGGACACACAAAAATAAATGAAAATAGTCAAGACAGGTGACATACAGAACCAACACCACCGGTCGCCATTACAGTGCCCCCCAAAAAATACAAATACAAAAATAAATAAATAAATACATTTTCTAAATGTATCATTTGGAATCCCCTGTGTTCTTTGAATCTCTCACCATCTCCATTCTTGAAAATTATGCCGACAGTGTCCCCCTGCACCCATTTGTTCTTGTACATGAGCCACAGGGGCTTCATCTTGGAGTCCATGAACTTGCATCTGTCCGCACTGCAACATCAAGCAAATCTGTTAACACTGGGAGAAGACTTTTCCCTATATACAGTTGAAGTCGGAAGTTTACATACACCGTAGCCAAATACATTTAAACTCAGTTTTTCACAATTCCTGACATTTAATCCTAGTAAAAATGCCCTGTCTTAGGTCAGTTAGGATCACCACTTTATTTTAAGAATGTGAAATGTCAGAATAATAGTAGAGAGAATGATTTATTTCAGCTTTTATTTCTTTCATCACATTCCCAGTGGGTCAGAAGTTTACATACACTCAATTAGTATTTGGTAGCATTGCCTTTAAATTGTTTAACTTGGGTCAAACGTTTCGGGTAGCCTTCCACAAGCTTCCCACAATAAGTTGGGTTAATTTTGGCCCATTGCTCTGACAGGCTGGTGTAACTGAGTCAGGGTTTTTAGGCCTCCTTGCTCGCACACACTTTTTCAGTTCTGCCCACACATTTTCTATAGGATTGAGGTCACGGCTTTGTGATGGCCACTCCAATACCTTGACTTTGTTGTCCTTAAGCCATTTTGCCACAACTTTGGAAGTATGCTTGGGGTCATTGTCCATTGGAAGACCCATTTGCGACCAAGCTTTAACTTCCTGACTGATGTCTTGAGATGTTGCTTCAATTATCCACATAATTTTCCTTCCTCATGATGCCATCTATTTTGTGAAGTGCACCAGTCCCTCCTGCAGCAAAGCACCCCGACAGCATGATGCTGCTACCCCCGTGCCTCACGGTTGGGATGGTGTTCTTCGGCTTGCAAGTAACCCCCTTTTTCCTACAAACATAACGATGGTCATTATGGCCAAAAAGTTATACTTTTGTTTCATCAGACCAGAGGACATTTCTCCAAAAAGTACAATCTTTGTCCCCATGTGCAGTTGCAAATCATAGTCTGGCTTTTGTATGGCGGTTTTGGAGCAGTAGCTTCTTCCTTGCTGAGTGGCCTTTCAGGTTATGTCGATATAGGACTCGTTTTACTGTGGATATAGATACCTTTGTACCTGTTTCCTCCAGCATCTTCACAAGGTCCTTTGCTGTTGTTCTGGGATTGATTTTCACTTTTCGCACCATAATATGTTCTTCTCTAGGAGACAGAACGTGTCTCCTTCCTGAGCGGTATGATGGCTGCGTTGTCCCATGGTGTTTATACTTGCGTACTATTGTTTGTACAGATAAACGTGGTACCTTCAGGCATTTGGAAATTGCTCCCAAGGATGAACCAGACTTGTGGAGGTCTACAATTCAGAGGCCCTGAGTTTGAAGGTAGGCCTTGAAATACATCACAGGTACACCTCCAATTGACTCAAATGATGTCAATTAGCCATTCAGAAGCTTCTAAAGCCATGACATAATTTTCTGGAATTTTCAAAGCTGTTTAAAGGCACAGTCAACTTAGTGTATGTAAACTTCTGACCCACTGGAATTGTGATACAGTGAATTATAAGTGAAATAATCTGTCTGTAAACAATTGTTGGAAAAATTACTTGTGTCATGCACAAAGTAGGTGTCCTAACCGACTTGCCAAAACTATAGTTTGTTAACAAGAAATTTGTGGATTGGTTGAAAAACGAGTTTTAATAACTCCAACCTAAGTGTATGTAAACTTCCGACTTCAACTGTAATATAATTTCTACCCATTTGTAGGATAAATAAATATACAACATAGTAATTTCTAACACAGAATTAATTAAAAGATGCTGAATGTGGCTATCAGTGCCCTCAAAACATGGAGGTGCATGATGCTTCTGTATGTGTGTGTGTGTGCATTCCTGGATGTCTGTCTGCGTAGGTCTGTCTGTGCATCTTTGTGTGCGTCTGTGTCTGCGTGCCTGTATCTGTGTGTGTGTGCCAGGTACCCACCAAATCTCAGAGAGCATGATGCTGGGGTTGAGCGGGGACAGCAGGTATGAGAGGGCCTCAATGTATGCCTCCTGTTTGATACACAGCTTCATGTCGTCTGTCATCTGCTGGCGCGACGTCTTCTGCCAGCCCGACTTCACAAAGTCATTCAGAGCCTTCATCTTGTTCAGAGCCTCATTCTGCACAGAGAGAAGAGGAGGAGGGAGTACAGTGCCTTGCAAAAGTATTCATCCACCTTGGCGTTTTTCCTATTTTGTTGCATTACAACCTGTAATTTAAATGGATTTTTATTTGGATTTCATGTAATGGACATATAAAATAGTCCAAATTGGTGAAGTGAAAGGAAAAAAATAACTTGTTTAAAAAAATTCGAATAAATAAATAACGGAAAAGTGGTATTCACCCCCTTTGCTATGAAGCCCCTAAATAAGATCTGGTGCAACCAATTACCTTCAGAAGTCACATAATTAGTTAAATAAAGTCCACCTGTGTGCAATCTAAGTGTCACATGATCTCAGTATATTACACCTGTTCTGAAAGGCCCCAGAATCTGCAACACCACTAAGCAAGGGGCACCACCAAGAAAGCTGCACCATGAAGACCAAGGAGCTCTCCAAACAGGTCAGGGACAAAGTTGTGGAGAAGTACAGATCAGGGTTGGGTTATAAACAGATATCTGAAACATTTAACATCCCATGGAGCACCATTAAATCCATTATTAAAACATTGAAAGAATATGGCACCACAACAAACCTGCCAAGAGAGGGCCGCCCACCAAAACTCACGGACCAGGCAAGGAGGGCATTAATCAGAGAGGCAACAAAGAGACCACAGATAACCCTGAAGGAGCTGCAAAGCTCCACAGCGGAGATTGGAGTATCTGTCCATAGGACCACTTTAAGCCGTACACTCCACAGAGCTGGGCTTTACGGAAGAGTGGCCAGAAAAAAGCCATTGCTTAAAGAAAAAAATAAGCAAACACGTTTGGTGTTCGCCAAAAGGCATGTGGGAGACTCCCCAAACATATGGAAGAAGGTACTCTGGTCAGATGAGACAAATTGAGCTTTTTGGCCATCAAGGAAAGCGCTATGTATGGCGTAAACCCAACAACTCTCATCACCCCGAGAACACCATCCCCACAATCTGTGGTATGACTTAAAGATTGCTGTACACCAGCGGAACCCATCCAACTTGAAGGAGCTGGAGCAGTTTTGCCTTGAAGAATGGGAAAAAATCCCAGTGGATAGATGTGCCAAGCTTATAGAGACATACAGTGAGGGAAAAAAGTATTTGATCCCCTGATGATTTTGTACGTTTGACCACTGACAAAGACACGATCAGTCTATAATTTTAATGGTAGGTTTATTTGAACAGTGAGAGACAGAATAACAACAAAAAAATCCAGAAAAACGCATGTCAAAAATGTTATAAATTGATTTGCATTTTAATGAGAGAAATAAGTATTTGACCCCTCTGCAAAACATGAGTTAGTACTTGGTGGCAAAACCATTGTTGGCAATCACAGAGGTCAGACGTTTCTTGTAGTTGGCCACCAGGTTTGCACACATCTCAGGAGGGATTTTGTCCCACTCCTCTTTGCAGATCTTCTCCAAGTCATTAAGGTTTCGAGACTGACCTTTGACAACTCGAACCTTCAGCTCCCTCCACAGATTTTCTATGGGATTAAGGTCTGGAGACTGGCTAGGCCACTCCAGGACCTTAATGTGCTTCTTCTTAAGCCACTCCTTTGTTGCCTTGGCCGTGTGTTTTGGGTCATTGTCATGCTGGAATACCCATCCACGACCCATTTTCAATGCCCTGGCTGAGGGAAGGAAGTTCTCACCCAAGATTTGACGGTACATGGCCCCGTCCATCGTCCCTTTGATGCGGTGAAGTTGTCCTGTCCCCTTAGCAGAAAAACACCCCCAAAGCATAATGTTTCCACCTCCATGTTTGACGGTGGGGATGGTGTTCTTGGGGTCATAGGCAGCATTCCTCCTCCTCCAAACACAGCGAGTTGAGTTGATGCCAAAGAGCTCAATTTTGGTCTCATCTGACCACAACACTTTCACCAAGTTTTCCTCTGAATCATTCAGATGTTAATTGGCAAACTTCAGACGGGCCTGTATATGTGCTTTCTTGAGCAGGGGGACCATGCGGGCGCTGCAGGATTTCAGTCCTTCACGGCGTAGTGTGTTACCAATTGTTTTCTTGGTGACTATGGTCCCAGCTGCCTTGAGATCATTGACAAGATCCTCCCGTGTAGTTCTGGGCTGATTCCTCACTGTTCTCATGATCATTGCAACTCCACGAGGTGAGATCTTGCATGGAACCCCAGGCCGAGGGAGATTGACAGTTTCTTTGTGTTTCTTCCATTTGCGAATAATCGCACCAACTGTTGTCACCTTCTCACCAAGCTGCTTGGCGATGGTCTTGTAGCCCATTCCAGCCTTGTGTAGGTCCACAATCTTGTCCCTGACATCCTTGGAGAGCTCTTTGGTCTTGGCCATGGTGGAGAGTTTGGAATCTGATTGATTGATTGCTTCTGTGGACAGGTGTCTTTTATACAGGTAACAAGCTGAGATTGGGAGCACTCCCTTTAAGAGTGTGCTCCTAATCTCAGCTCGTTACCTGTATAAAAGACACCTGGGAGCCAGAAATATTTCTGATTGAGAGGGGGTCAAATACTTATTTCCCTCATTAAAATGCAAATCAATTTATAACATTTTTGACATGCGTTTTTCTGGATTTTTTTGTTGTTATTCTGTCTCTCACTGTTCAAATAAACCTACCATTAAAATTATAGACTGATCATTTCTTTGTCAGTGGACAAAATCAGCAGGGGATCAAATACTTTTTTCCCTCACTGTACCCCAAGAGACTTGCAGCTGTAATTGCTGCAAAGGTGGCTATACAAAGTATTAACTTTGGGGGGGTGAATAGTTATGCACGCTCAAGTTTTCTGTTTTTTTTTGTCTTATTTCTTGTTTGTTTCACACACAAAAAATATTTTGCATCTTCAAAGTGGTAGGCATGTTGTGTAAATCAAATGATACAAAGCCCCAAAAGATCCATTTTAATTCCAGGTTGTAAGGCAACAAAATAGGAAAAAGTCCAAGTGGGGTGAATACTTTCGCAAGCCACTGTATTGATAAAGTTTTGGGATAGTACAGTGAGATATAGTAGATCGGGAGAAGGGATATAAAGAGGGGCACACTCTGAGGAAATGTAAGGGCAAAGACAGCAGAGGCCGAGGTGAGACTAGTAGCGTTGTGTGTGTGTGTGTGTTGGTGGGGTTGGGTCTGGGGGGAAAGCTAGTGATGAAAGTCACACAGTACATGCCCATTTAGGTTCTCTCCCTGCTTGAAAAGGTTTCCCGCAAAATATCTCACTATTTGCACGTTTTATGAGCAAATGTTTTTTTTTTTTAGTGGTGAATGTAGTTATTTTCCACCGGTTGTATTGTTCTTATACTGTCCTGAGCATTAATGTCCAAGAATTCAAACTTGCATAATTTTCATCACTATATGTTGGCTAAACATTGGCATGATTGACGTGTCACTATTGTTGTCTATTGGTAGGCACATGAGTTATACAGCCAGCCGCACCAATGTGTCGGAGGAAACACAGTTCACCTGATGACCGAGGTCAGCCTTCAGGTGCTGCCACAAGGAGTTGCTAGAGCGCAAATACCCCCCCTAACCCGGACGACGCTGGGCCAATTGTGCGCCGCCCTATGGGATTCCCGATCACGGCCGGTTGTGATACAGCCCGGGATCGAACCCGGGTCTATAGTGATGCCTTAGACCACTGCGCCACTCGGGAGGCCTAGCACATTAAGTTTTGTCATGGCTTGGGGGTAATTAAAATGACCCTGAGCCAAGCAGCCACATTATGAAAACAAGTGATTTTAACTTTAAGATTGTATGAATTTTACATGAAATATACAAATACTAACTTTAAATAGCCTTGGGGTCCTGTACAGTGCCAAATAAGTTGTAAACAGATATATTCTGGGCACCATCAGACTATTCAGATGTTTTGAGAGGTACCGAATGGCCATGCACAAACAGGGGTGTTACTGTAAATATTGGTTACGTACATAGAAATACTTATATTTCTTGCAAAATTATTACATATGTCTATGATATGATAATTCATAAACATTAATTATTTAAAAATTAAGGTAATTTATTTTGTTTATTTTTTAGGTGTTACATTTGACCCCAGCTACTGTTACAATTTCCCCTGGCATGGCAGCAAATGTAACGTCCGGACTTTTCGGATTAAAATCAATACTGTGATACGACCGTCTTATATACAGACCTATAAATGGTATGAATGATTAGGAGACAGATGTATGTTTCATATATAAAAACATTACTGGCCTAGTTCGAGTGGTCCCTGAGCAATAGAGTCAAATACAAAACATGTTACAATTGCCCCCAGTCTCCCCTACTCCTCTATACATGCTATTTCTAAGGAATGTCTAAGAATGACCAAGTATATAGTCTCAAGGTGTGCTCACCTGTTTCCATAAGCTCTTGATGTGATAGATGTTGCCCCTGCAGTAAGCCTCTAGAATCAGTCCGAAACGCAGACTGACTGAGGATACATGCATTTCTGACCTGGAGTGAGGACAAAGGCTTCTGTCACAACTTCTACCAACACCACCCGACAACACCACCTTAGTGTTCAATTCATATACAGAGTTATAGTGCTTGTTCCACACGAAAGCGCACACACGTGCACATAGCCAGGCGCGCACACACAATGTAATACTAGAAAAGACATATGAGAAATACAAATAAATATGAAGAACACAATAAGTAAGTAAGCATACTATATAAAGTGTCAGTTCCAATACCATATTTACAATGTGCATGGATACTGGAGTGATGGAGGTAGATATGTATAGGGGTAAGGTGACTAGGCAACAGGATATAAGATAAACAGAGTAGCAGCAGCTTGTATGTGAGTGGGTGTGCGGGTGTGTAGAGTCAGTATAAATGTATGTGCATATTATGTGTGAGTGAGCAGATGGAGTGTGTGTGTGCGTGTGTAGGGCCCTGTGAGTGTGCATAGAGACAGTGCAAAAATGTAAATAAAAGGTCAATAAAGATACAAGGTTAACTCAGATAGTCTGTGTAGCTATTTTGTTTGCTATTTATCAGTCTTATTGCTTGGGGATCGAAGCTGTTCAAGAGCATGCTCCACTGCAGCCCCGTCGATGTGGATGGGAGCGTGCTCGCCCCTTCGTTTCCTGTAGTATACGATCAGCTCCTTGGTCTTACTGACGTTGAGGGAGAGGTTGTTGCTCTGGCACCACACTGCCAAATCACTGACCTCCTCCCTGTAGGCTGACTCAACGTCGCCGGTGATCAGGCCTACCACCGTCGTGCCGTCAGCAAACTTGATGATGGTGTTGGAGTCGTGCGTGGCCACGCCATCGTGGGTCAACAGGGAGTACAGGAGGGCACTAAGCACACACCCCTGTGGGGCCCCGTGTTGAGGGTCAGCGTGGCGGAGGTGATGTTGGCTACCCTCACCACCTGGGGTCGGCCCGTCAGTAAGTCCAGTATCTAGCTGCAGAGGGAGGTGTTCAGACCCAGAGCCCTAAGCTTGGTGACGAGCTTGGAGGGGACAATGGTTTTGAACGCTGAGCTGTAGTAAATGAACAGCATTCTCACATAGGTATTATTATCTAGGTGGGTGAGGGCAGTGTGGAGAGCAATTGAGATTGCATCTTCTATGGATCGGTTGGGGCGGTATGCAAATTGGAGTGGGTCAAGGGTGTCTGGGATGGTGAAGTTAATGTGTGCCATAACCAGCCTTTCAAAGCACTTCATGATTACTGAAGTGAGTGCTACAGGGCGGTAGTCATTGTGGCATGTTCTTGGGGACAGGAATGAAGGTGGTCATCTTAAACCATGTGGGGATTACAGACTGTGTAATATGATTCCACCTTATTCCTATATTGTCCTTTTGCTCATTTGATGACTCTGCAGAGGTCATAGCGGGACTTCTTGTACTTATTCCTGTCTTCGGCCGTAGCATCAGGGTTGTCTGTGAAGGCTCTGTGTGCGGTATCTCTGTCCTTTAGTTTAGAGCCAACCTTGGTGTTAATCCAGGGCTTTTGATTGGGGAAGCAGTGAACCCTCACCGTGGGGACAACGTCGCCGATGCATTTTCTAATGAAGCCAGTGACGGAGGTAGTTAGCTCGTCAATGTTATCGGAGGAGTATCTAAACATATTCCAATCAGCGCTAGGCAAAGCAGTCCTGTAGCATAATCTATGATTCTGGTGACCATTTCTCAACAGAGCGAGTCACGGGTACTTCCTGTTTGAGTTTCTGCTTGTAAACAGGAGCAGGACTACGGAGTCATGATCTGATTTGCCGAATGGCGGACGAGGGAGGGCCTTGTATGCTTGCTTGTGGGTAGAATAACAGTGGTCTATGACTTTATCGCCCCTAGTGGAGTTGGAGACGTGTTGATGGAAGTTGGGTATCACGTGTCTTAGTGACGCGAAATTAAAACCAGAAAAGCAGCCTCTGGATGTAGGTTTTCTTGCTTGTTTATAGCTTTGTATAGTTAGTTAATTGCCAGCTTGCTATTTTTCTTGTCACGATAACAGCTGAAAACTCCCTCGGGAGGTTGAATGGTTGGCATTTGACCATCAGGTATTCCAAGACGGTGAACAGTGGGTCGACACTTCCTGTGACTAATCAATTAGGCTATTTAAGCTCTGAATACCACATACCCAACTTTATCAGGAGGAGTTATCCTGAGCCTATTTGCAAGGTGTTTACAGAGCGGGAAATGCAGAAGTATTTTCTTTTTCGCTATGATCAGCTCGTCAAAAATTAATGGATACAAACTTGAAACCACTGATCATGACCACTGGATTAAACTCATGGACAGCAGTTGTGAGTAGCCTGATTGTCCATTCCATATTGTCCATTTTACTTTGATCTGTCCTGTTTTTAGGATATGTTGTTTGTTCGCACACGCATGCGCACATGCACACAGCCTTACCTGAGATGCCAGAAGAGGAAGTGGCCTATCCTCTTGTTGGAGAGGGCTCTCTCTAGCAGGAAAGTAGCCAGGTCACAGTCCAGGTAAGACTCATACTTCAGAACCTGAACCAACTGCAGCAAGTACTGGAGCAGCTCCTCATCTCTGCTGGGAGGGAGATTAAATGGGGTCATTTACAGCAACATTTTCACAACATTGTAAAAACGATAATTTTTTGCCAGCTGTATATAGTCTTTGAGCAACCAAGTTATTGACGGGCATCCAGTATGGTTGGAACTTGTTGACACTTCTAAAAACCAATTTTCCACTTGTTTCAAATTCTTAACATTAATTTCACACCATTGTTAAAGTGGTACCACTTGTTTTTATTTGTTATTTGTACCACTTGTTTCTATTTCAGGAGATATTTTTTTGTTGAGAACCTATCAAAAACGAAAAGCATAAAAGAGGTAATGGCAAGAGCCAAATGTTTCCCAGACATGGATTGAGCCTAGTCCTGAACTAAAAAGCACTTTCAATGAGAATTCTCCATTTAACATAATTTTTAGTCAAGGCTTAAAGCTGCAATATAAAACTTTTTGGGGGACCTGACGAAATTCACATAGAAATGTGTTTTATATTTTTATCATTCTCATTGAAAGCAAGTGTAAGAAGCGGTAGATCTGTTCTATGTGTGCTATTTCTATACTTCTCGTGCTTAAGTTTAGTTTTTGCGTCTTTTACTTTCGGTTTTGTACAACAGCTTCAAACAGATGAAAATACAATAGTTTTGGTTATGTAAAATATATTTCACAGCGGTTTAGATGGTACAATGATTCTCTACACTATGCTTGTTTTGTCACAAAAACTGAAATTAGGCAAACTATTAGAATTTTAGCAACCAGGAAATGGCGGAGCGATTTCTGCATAGTGCATCTTTAATCTGTGTCCGGGAAACTACCCCTAAGGTTACAGTACCTCAGCTTCCTTAGGCATCTGATGGTGAAGGAGCGGACCATTGGGTCAGGGAAACTGTAGTCCAGCAGCTCCAGGGCATGGAGAGCAGGGAGATCCGGCCATTTCTGCAGAAAACCCACCATCTGGACACAATGGCACAGGTCAGACCTTGTCTTTTGACATTGAACCTACTGCGCATTGCTAATGCATACTGAAAGCAGGAATCAATTTTAACATGATAATGGAAAATAATTACTTATTTAATAATCGCAAAAACAGCTGCACTATGAACTAATGCACTGCATGTCTATCACATCGTAACTAAATCTCTGGTTCAAACAAAGTTCCTCCTCACTGAAATGTTTTAAGAAAAGTTACAACATACAGGTAACTGCCAAAATAATGGAAACACTTTCGTAGATGAGGGATACAAAGTATATTGAAAGCAGGTTCTTCCACACAGGTGTGGTTCCTGAGTTAATGAAGCAATTAACATCCCTTCATGCTTAGGGTCATGTAAAAAAATGCTGGGCAGGTCATTATTTTGGCCGTTATTTTGGTTACCATGGCTATACCCCAATAGGATGACAATGCCCCCATCCACAGGGCACGAGTGGTCACTGAATGGTTTGATGAGCATGAAAACGATGTAAACCATATGCCATGACCGTCTCTTGTAGAATTTATGCCAAGGTGAAGCTGTTCTGGTTTGTGGTGGCCTAACGCCCTATTAAGACGCTTTATGTTGGTGTGTCCTTTATTTTGGCAGTTACCTTTAAGTCAAAGATGCAGATGATAATTTCCCTTGCAGTGCCTTAACTCACAGCTCAGTTGTCTTTGCGAGAGGAAAATGTTGCCCATAGTGTCCTACCTGTGCTACATCCTCGTGCTTATTCCATTTTGTGATGAGGAGAAGTTTGGACAGACTCTCTGGGTAGCGCTCCCGCACCACACCGCGTAGCTTCCACAGAAGCTCTTTCTCGTCCTCAAAGAACTCTGTGTAGTTCTTATTGTCTACTATTTCCTTTAGCTTCATATGCTGGGCAGCACAATACAAAGATAACAGGGAAGGGGTTGAGTGAACCTACTGTAGATCTGTAGGTACTAGCATGGTAATTTCTTAGCAATTAATGTATACTTTGATGTAAAAGTAGTTTTAAAAAACACTGGTAATTTTGAGGAACATAATTGATAAGTAATGGTATCGATAATGAATTCAAAGTTCAAACATACAATAAGATATAATACAAATAATAATAAATGGTTTATGCGTTTTAAAAAGTTGAATGTGGTTTTCAAAGGATTACTTTAATGTAATCTTATACATTTCAAACAAACAATAGAGAGTCCCTTACCTCCACCTTAGTGGCTATAACCTTCCCTCCATTTTTTTCTAGGTCCCTCAACTGAAAATAGGAGGTGCATACAAATGTGTAGATATCTTAATATAGCACTAAAAATATAATTCCAATGTCTAATTTCATAAAATCTATAGTAAGATCTAATATATATATTTTTTTACACGTACAGTACAAGATGGTTACAAGTGTAATGGTTACAAATATACGAGATTGGTTACAAATGTACAATGTCAACTATTGAAACATGTGTGCAGTAAAAGGTGTACCTTGTCGAAATGGGGGTAGTAGAGAGGGTGAGGTCGGATATTGGGGAAGCGAATGAGGAGTCCTGCTGCACTATCAATGTTGGGGTTTTTCTCCACTGTGCCCATTGGATTCAAGAGGTCGCCTTTATCATCTGGGATGCCACATTTAACCCAAATAAACATATTCAGCTATTAGAGAAAAATCAATGTGTAAAAGCTGCAATCAGCAGGAGAAACAATAAAGCTTTCTCCCCGCCACTGTGGGATGGGGCTGGAGAAATGTAACCATTCTCAAATTCATAGACAGAGCTATGAACGCAAGGACTGACCATCCATGATATTAACATTATAGTTTTAACCATGTTTTGAGGCTATATAGTGTTTGTTTACATATACTTTGTTTACAAACATTTTGGGGGTTCTGTAGGGGTACCACAGTTGAACTAAGCTCAAATTCTTCAAGAATCAATAGGAACATATCAATAATTTGGATGTAAAAACTGCTAAATGGATATAGCAACTGTTGATTGCCCTTTTAAGGCTCCAAGCCACTTAGCGGCTGGAAGCCTTATTCTTTTTGTGTGATTCTCCTTGCATGGGGCCAATGTCTAAAGGCCAGATAAAAAAAAAAAAAAAAAGGGAATAAAAATAGAACACAGAGGGAGTTATTATGGGGCCAAATCCCGAACTGAATGGCCCATAGGTGATGATATGATGATGATTAAAAGTCCAAAGTGCAGCCCCGCAATTTCGTTTGACGTAGAGCTTCGAAAGTCTGTACAAAAGTGTTTCTCAGCATAAGGAAAATGTTTTGCCTCAAGGACCTATGACCTCCACCATATCTGATTTTATTCCATCTTGGATGTTTGAACAAACATTGAAACATTTCATGAACCAAAAATCTGATTCACTCAAAACTATGAAAATATGGTAACAATCCCTGTCTCTACTGAGTTTGCAAAAAGCAAGAAATGTAATCAACAGATGACCAAGAAAATGTCAAATTTGTCCCCACCGCAAACCCAACGAAACTCAAAACTATTCAACTGTTCTTTGATTTATCAACATGATACTGATTGAGCGGCTTAAGGACACTACAAGAAAGGTCCACTCTGAAGCACGTATTGATATTTCCAAAATCATCACGACCACTTTTGCAAAGGAATAATGACTACATCAAACATAGCCACTCCAAACCAGTCGATGGCACTATAAAACCTTTACGTGCATCTTTTCAGTAAATGTAGTGGTAAAGTGTTTTGAATTGGTATGCGTGCACTACAGAGGTATCGTATCTAGTATTATTATTGTAGGTTGTCTAAATTGTGTAATTTGAACAAAAGTGAAACAGATTTTGACCAGCCTCACTCCTTTTTTTAGTATATCAGTAACAACATTTTTTAAAACAAGGAAAAGCCTTTATTTTTGTAGCATTTAAATGTCATTCCTTATCCCAGATATATAAAAAACAAGTTGCAAATGTGTTGTAATTCAAATTCAAAAAATTTGTGGCTAGGAGCCTTTGTTGCTGCTTGCAGCTATATTTAATTCATTTTTAAATGTATTATTACTACCTATTACCCAGTAATTTGCAGCAATTTAATGACAAACAACTATAGGTAAATAGTACAATGATTAAAATTGTATCGGAACAATGGTGTACATTTTGTAGTTCAGAAAACAACTAGCTTGTGAAGCAACTACTTAGTACAATAGCAATTTGCGATACTATGTAGCAGTGTGTGTTACTCTGGGTGGTATACTTCAATCCTTTTGAAGACGTGCAGTGGTTCCAGTGTGTGTGTGTGTAGTTCTACTGTACCAGGGACTGAAGGCCAGGTGGAGAGAAGGAACTCCCCAGTCTTCAGCTGATCCTTGTAGTCAAACACCATGGTGTTTACCCAGGCTAGTGGACAATCCTTGTGGGAGAAACCATAGAATGAGGTGACTGTTAATAAAGCACAGATTGAATGCTGAACTTCCATGCTTTTACTTCCTGCTTTGCTCCTCGGTTGAGGATAACAAAGGTTAAGGCAAGAGGATTCTAATATCCCATAACTCTTTGCATTCATGTGGAAGAATTCTAAAACTAAGGGACCAGCGATGCTAGTTAGCAATAGTGCTGGTCCCATGAATCTGTTTATTTTCGAAAGCTTCCGCATGTGAAGGACGTTGGACGTTGTCCTAACCTGGATATCCTCAACCTAGTTTTGCTCCAATCGGGACCCTCAAAATGGCCCCAGTCCATCCATTATAGCATCATGACTTGAATGGGGACGTCCATTCTATTCATTCTAATTCTATGGGAGAAACACAGTGGTCATGTCCAGTAAGGGAGAAAAAAAAGTGGAACGGGAGGTACTACCATAACTTGTCCAATAAGAACAATATTGTTTTTCTCATCCCGAAATGTTTTGCTACGGTGTGCCCTACTGAACACGACCAAGGTTGATAGTCATTAGCACACTATTTACAAATTCAAACTTTCTAACCTGTTTTCGTTTACATCTGTTTAGAAGAACCCAAATGTGTGAGCACATCTTGGGCTTCATTCAATCCAAATCAGTATGTGGCCCCAGGCTCTCAATACCACAGTTTAACTAAGTTGAAGCCCCACACGGTGTAAAAAATGTATAAAAATACAACTTGATATTCAATTCAAACTGGATATCTAGCTGCATGGGAGGAATGATGTGTTGCCATAAACTGGAAACTTACAGATTTATTAAATGGAGCCTCCAGTCTTTAAATGAATGACTGAGAATGGCAATGAACAACAACCGACTCATTCTTGCACCACCAAAATGCACAGTCACTTTGCGAAAGTTTCCACTTAGGTTAACAAACAGGTCTTCGTATAATAACTGATATCATTATGTCTCACAAGCCATTTGTGATGTAGGCCTCTATGGTTCCTTTAATCGCTTGAAATGATTGCATTTCAATATACAGTATACATAAAACAATACAAGCCACAATATCTAATTGGCCATCACAAGGATTTCAATTAACCTTAGAAACTGTTAAATACTTTATATTAGAGTTATAAAATAAAGGTTCATTGGGTTCTCATTGTATTGTATCTCATTGTATTGTAAGTATTGAATGATTGTATTGAATCATAAATATGACAAATGTGCCCATGTCCAAATCTCCCTTCCTGGCACAAGGTTTAATGAGAATGACTTGTAAATTACTTATGGTAAATGGTCAGCTTCTCAAGCTAAGGTGGGAAAACCAATATAGTCTAATGCATCTCTCAGCTGCGAACTTGCAAAAAAAACAAGCTAAATTAAAATAAGGCGATGCGAGTGGCCATGGCTAGCCAAAATAACAACTTCTCGCTTCCTGTTTTGTGTTCCAAATGGCACCGTATTCTCTACATAGTGCACTACTTTTGACCATAGCCCTTGGTCAAAAGTAGTGCATTATACAGGGAATAGGGTGGCATATGGGATGCAGGCCCGCTGTCTGGCCTGCCTTCTCCTCTGGGTGACGGAAGAGAGAAGTGGCCCAGAAAGCAGAAGTGGAGTCGCTGAGGCCTAGCTCCCCACAGCACACACGGGGCCTTTCCTCACACCTTGCCTCTTTTAAATCAGGGCGTATTCACTAGGAAGCAAACGGGGCAAAACTAGGAGGGAGTAGCCTTGTTTTTGTAGCAAAACATTTTCCATTGCAAAAGGTTTTTTCTATAGTGTGCACTAATGAATACACCCAGGACTGTGCCAAGAGCCAAAGTGAAAAGGTGAAATTGGGCCCAGGCCTCAGTGTACTGTACTATTCTACACATTTTTTACATTTTTACATTTTTAGTCATTTAGCAGACGCTCTTATCCAGAGCGACTTACAGTTAGTGAGTGCATACATCATTTTTTATACTGGCCCCCCATGGGAATCGAACCCACAACCCTGGCGTTGCAAACGCCATGCTCTACCAACTGAGCTACATCCCTGCCGGTCATTCCCTCCCCTACCCTGGACGACGCTGAGCCAATTGTGCGCCGCCCCATGGGTCTCCCGGTCGCGGCCGGCTACGACCCATGCCCTCTCTACACAACTACATACACGCTCCACTTCCTGAAAGCAACAGCAAACAAGTCCATAGTAACCAATGGCATGGGGATTCAAAGAGGTGGTGTTGCTAACTGTGTGTTCATGTATCGAAGTGAAACCATTCTTATGGCATTTCGCAAAAAGGGGAGAACATAAGAGATATTCCTGACTTGATCGAAACAAAAACACTTCAGAACACAAACATGACTTTTTTCTGTATGTCCTTATAACACCCGTATGACACATGCAAACTGTTTAGTAGCTACATTTTTAAATAAACTGACAATGGGGTCGGAAGGATGAAAAGATAATAAATGAACAAATCTTTGGGTAATGTTTATGAGCAAATATACATTGTTACAGGCCACCACCATGCTTCACTGTGGGGATGGTGTTCTCGGGGTGATGAGAGGTGTTGGGTTTGCGCCAGATATAGCATTTTCCTTGATGGCCAAAAAGCTCAATTTTAGTCTCATCTGACCAGAGTACCTTCTTCCATATGTTTGGGGAGTCTCTCACATGCCTTTTGGTGAACACCAAACGTGTTTGCTTATTTTTTTCTTTAAGCAATGGCTTTTTTCTGGCCACTCTTCCGTAAAGCCCAGCTCTGTGGAGTGTACGGCTTAAAGTGGTCCTATGGACAGATACTCCAATCTCTGCTGTGGAGCTTTGCAGCTCCTTCAGGGTTATCTTTGGTCTCTTTGTTGCCTCTCTGATTAATGCCCTCCTTGCCTGGGCTGTGAGTTTTGGTGGGCGGCCCTCTCTTGGCAGGTTTGTTGTGGTGCCATATTCTTTCCATTTGTTAATAATGGATTTAATGGTGCTCCGTGGGATGTTCAAAGTTTCGGATATTTTTTTATAACCCAACCCTGATCTGTACTTCTCCACAACTTTGTCCCTGACCTGTTTGGAGAGCTCCTTGGTCTTCATGGTGCCCCTTACTTAGTGGCGTTGCAGACTCTGGGGCTTTTCAGAACAGGTGTATATATACTGAGATCATGTGACAGATCATGTGACACTTAGATTGCACACAGGTGGACTTTATTTAACTAATTATGTGACTTTTGAAGGTAATTGGTTGCACCAGATCTTATTTAGGGGCTTCATAGCAAAGGGCTGAATACATATGCACGCACCACTTTTCCGTTATTTATTTTTTATAATTTTCTGAAACAAGTTATTTTTTTCATTTCACTTCACCAATTTGGAATATTTTGTGTATGTCCATTACATGAAATCCAAACAAAAATCAATTTAAATTACAGGTTGTAATGCAACAAAATAGGAAAAACGCCAAGGGGGATGAATACTTTTGCAAGGCACTGTAGCTATCTAGCTAGCAAAGCGATTGACATTTCCTGCTAGCTAATCAAATGACACCTGCATCTCTAGCTGTGTAGCCAACGAAAAACAAGATAAGGGGAAAAAGTCAGTCACTCACTCCTCCAATTACATGACATCCTCCCAGCAGCTAGCTAGCTAACGTTAGGCTGTGTTTTTAGCTTGCTAAATAAATAGCTAGAGAAATAGATACGCTAGCCTATTAGCCACGCTGACTTGTGATCATTGCCCTTGCTAGTTTGATTGTATTGACATTCCCAGCCTTAGTTACATTAGTCAGTTTTTGTCCAAAATATTGAGTAATTGAAACTGAAACAGTGCATCCCGAATGGGTGGAGGCAGCAAACAAGCTGTGATTTGCAACCTGATAGCAGTATTTCTGGGACTACCAAGAAATGTCTTGGTGAATTATTTTAATCATGCATTTACAGTGGGGAAAAAAAGTATTTAGTCAGCCACCAATTGTGCAAGTTCTCCCACTTAAAAAGATGAGAGAGGCCTGTAATTTTCATCCTATGTACACGTCAACTATGACAGACAAATTGAGAAAAAAATTTTTTATGAATTTATTTGCAAATGATGGTGGTAAATAATATTTGGTCACCTACAAACAAGCAAGATTTCTGGCTCTCACAGACCTGTAACTTCTTCTTTAAGAAGCTTCTCTGTCCTCCACTCGTTACCTGTATTAATGGCACCTGTTTGAACTTGTTATCAGTATAAAAGACACCTGTCCACAACCTCAAACAGTCACACTCCGAACTTCACTATGGCCAAGACCAAAGAGCTGTCAAAGGACACCAGAAACAAAATTGTAGACCTGCACCAGGCTGGGAAGACTGAATCTGCAATAGGTAAGCAGCTTGGTTTGAAGAAATCAACTGTGGGAGCAATTATTAGGAAATGGAAGACATACAAGACCACTGATAATCTCCCTCGATCTGGGGCTCCACGCAAGATCTCACCCCGTGGGGTCAAAATGATCACAAGAACGGTGAGCAAAAATCCCAGAACCACACGGGGGGACCTAGTGAATGACCTGCAGAGAGCTGGGACCAAAGTAACAAAGCCTACCATCAGTAACACACTACGCCGCCAGGGACTCAAATCCTGCAGTGCCAGACGTGTCCCCCTGCTTAAGCCAGTACATGTCCAGGCCCGTCTGAAGTTTGCTAGAGTGCATTTGGATGATCCAGAAGAGGATTGGGAGAATGTCATATGGTCAGATGAAACCAAAATATAACTTTTTGGTAAAAACTCAACTCGTCGTGTTTGGAGGACAAAGAATGCTGAGTTGCATCCAAAGAACACCATACCTACTGTGAAGCATGGGGGTGGAAACATCATGCTTTGGGGCTGTTTTTCTGCAAAGGGACCAGGACGACTGATCCGTGTAAAGGAAAGAATGAATGGGGCCATGTATCGTGAGATTTTGAGTGAAAACCTCCTTCCATCAGCAAGGGCATTGAAGATGAAACGTGGCTGGGTCTTTCAGCATGACAATGATCCCAAACACACCGCCCGG